GTATGTTTTGTCCATTGAGACGTGGCCTGAGCTAGTCGAGTCACAGCAAACGTGGAATGGCATATACTCTAGAGTTACCTTTTACAAAACAAGATCTCACTTTTTATAACAGAAATTAACATAGGACCAGATTCTGCCCTCACTTCTTATTATTAGACTACACAGTCTTCTGCATTTCCCATTACCACAGATTTCAAGTGGTATTGTGCCCGATTCTACATTGATAGTAATGTTTGTTGAACCCTGTGCCAGCACAGAGTTCCAGGAACATCAATGGGGACCAAAGGAGATGCCTCGGGACAACAGCATGCAGTTTATTGTAGTATCAGGGCCCAATGCAGGACAGAATTTGGCCCATTATAATTGTAGAACCTTAGAAGTGACCTCAGTGTTCATTGCAACATATAAAATTTAGTGAGCAGTAAGGGTTTTAATTATGGCATGTACACTCAATGTTTTTTTCCCCATGAGTCTGCTTTTTTTTTAATTACGCCTTTGTGAGAAGTGGTATTTTCATTGTCCCAAAACAAAACTGGTAATGGATTCAATTCTGTTCCCACTGAAGCCAATGGGAGTTCTGCCATTGATTTCAAAGGGATTCAGTTCAGGCCCCAGAGCTGAGGTAAAGGGTTCCTACTTTCAACTGAAAGTCTGAAAATCTCTTCTTCTCTTTTTGATACGAAAGAAAAAAAAGCTTCAAAACCAGGTCAGATAACCAAAAAATTATCTGAAAGCAGCTCTGCATATTTCATATGAAGAGCACACATGTCTTCCCAAGGCGGTTCTTCATTTGCTGCTGTAGTGTTGTTATTAATGGATTCACTCTCTGTGGCTTTGGTGAAATCACTTAACTTTTCTGCCTTATTTTCCTCATCTGTGAAGTAGAGAGAATACCTACCTCACAGTGATATTGCAACTATTAATGACTGTGTAAAGCATTGTACACATGCAGATTCACAGAGAAAGATGGAAGGGACATGAAAGAGACAGTATGGAAGCAATGGTAGTAGAGAGGTGAAAGTAAAGGAAACAGAGAAGAGCATCACTAATGAAGACAAAATGTAATATGTGTGTGTGAGAGAGAGAGGATTAATATGAAGAAGAAACTACTTTTCAGTGAAAGCACTGGAGAGAGAGAATAATACAAAGAAAGGAGATATAAATACGGAAAATGAAAGGAGATGGCATGGAGATGAATAGAGAGTCAGACAGTGGGAGAGGGGAAAAGAAGAAACTAAAGAAGGGAATAAGAGGAAAACACATTTTTAGACTAACATTTTGTTGAACTATCTCACAGACAACTCATATCTCTGGACAGTAAGTTTGGAGCAAAGGGATGGCATTTTGAGCACTTACGCAATATTAATACTACTGAGTCCCCTGCATTCTACAGCTAAATAATGGTGGGAAAAGACAAGAAAAAAGTTTACCAGAATGTACATCAGACCCCTTCATTATTGGGGTGAATAGGGGATATTGACCCCAAAACCTCAGCTAACATCGAGAATTGTCCCTTGCTGTTTCTTTTTAAAGGTTGGCAGTATGCAAGGACACCAGTACAAGCAGCTCAACACTAACTCAACAGTCCAAAAATTTGAAAGGGGGCGGGAGGACTCAAAAAGTTATCTTGATGATTCTTCAAAAAGCCTATGCCCAATTCAGTAGATAGTGTTGTGATCATAGGGATGTGGGTACAAGACAAAAAATATCATCCTATCTCAAAATACTATGACTGCCTCAGAACCCTTGCACAGTATAAAATAGCTCCGGGATCAGTTCTGCAGTCGTTTCTTAGGCAAAACTCTCATTTACTGTGACCAAAGTCTTACTTTCAGCATCTGCCTTAAGAGTCAGTCTGAGCTGAAGTGTTATTTTTAAGAATACAGACCCTTCTTTTTTATTGACATTGAAAGTAATGGTCAGCCAAACTGAAGACTCAGTTCAGATATGTATCTTAAATTATATTAATGCTTATCCAAATTTCATGAAATTTCATCTAGAAACCTCAAAAGATCATGCTTTTTACTTGTGAGACAGCAGTATTTCTCTGTTTCAGCTGGACCAGAAATTCTGCAAGACCAGCCTTTCTCGTGTAATTTCAGCCAAAACATGGAGATGTGAAAGTAACATGAAATAAATAAATTTAACTGAAATTTTGGGGCATCAAAATCAATGGTAGATGAGGGTGCTCAGCAACTCTCAGGTTTGGGTCCTCGCTGAAAATAATAATGACCACTTCCCATTTGTGCAAGAGATACTGAGAATCTAAAGTTTAGCGATATCCCTCAAACAATTTCACGCTTGTAGTTAAATGTAAGTGCAGACCCACACGTTACATAGTTACACATCTAAAATTGGTAGCATTGCAGTCATAGATAATTGTGTCTGCAATTTTGTACCTACAACATTATGTTGGAGGCCACATTTTAAAATTTAAGCCTAAAACTTCAAGGGCAAGATTCTCAGCTGATGTAAATCAGTGTCAATGAAGCTATGCTATTTGCACCAGCTGGGGATCTAGCTTTAAATGCATGTTAACTGATCCCTGTAAGACAACCTATGAATTGAACAAGAAGTGACTGAAACGCATACATGATAATTTGAGTTGGTCAGATGTTCCAGTTTAAGCATTTTAGTACCAAAAGAGATGGAAAAATTAGCATTGCTTTAAGCTAAATAGCGATTGCTTTACAGCTGCAATTAGTTACATAATTATTGACTACATCGATAATTAGGAGTAATTTGTTGTCAAGCTATGCTAAGTGAAAATGTAGTTTTTAATCATCAAACTAGAAAGATAGTAAGATATTTAAAAATACTTCATTTTGCAAAGGAATAGCAATGTTGTTATCAATTAATACAAACTCGTTTCAGAAAAAAGTAAAGTGAAACAGGAAAATGGGGGAAAAAGCATTAGTTTGGTTTATTAATTAATACATGTTTTCCAAGACAAATGGATGGAAATATTTGAGTATGTTTGTAGCTGTTAATAGAATCATAGAATATCAGGGTTGGAAGAGACCTCAGGAGGTCATCTAGTCCAATCCCCTGTTCAAAGCAGGACCAATTCCCAACTAAAACAAGTTCTGTTACCACTGAACTTGAGAGCAAATGGTGCAATACCATTGAAGCCTTTAGTTACACAAGGGATTGATTTTTAGGGTGACCAGACAGCAAATGTGAAAAATCGGGATGGGGGTGGAGGGTAATAGGAGCCTATATAAGAAAAAGACCCAAAAATCAGGACAGTCCGTATAAAATCGGGACATCTGGTCACCCTGATTGATTTGGCCAAAACAGTTAGTAAAATCTATAACGTATGTTGTATTTTTGTGCAATTTTGTTTGGTATTATTTTCAGACAAATACCTCTGATTTCATAATAACATGACAAATCTTTTCATTGCATGAGCTGTGATTTCGTGATGCAATACACTAATGCAAAATGCAATAATGCTTTAAGTGGTGCTGTAGACATAGCAGGGCCATGATATTAGCAAGCTGTCTGTTTGCTTGAAAATTGTGTATTGTTTATTTGGAAAAGGGCAATAACTGCACTTTTCCCATCTAAATATACTTTATTAAAAATTAAAGTAAGAAACTTTTTCCCCAGCCAGTAGTGACCTTTCAACAAAGTACCCAGGGGATTTAAAAAAAAAAGAAAAGAAAAAAGAAAGAAAGGGTTAGTCAACAGAGAGGAAGCATTAGCAGCCTCAGTGTGCACAATTTATGTTTTGTTAAATAAAGTCTCTAGGCAGATCTAGTCCATGCTGTGTCCATTTACACAGGACTATACTTGACTATTTACCATGCTGCTCAATGAAAATTAAGTGCACACTGTACCAGACCAATTGCAAAGGGCTTGAAAGGTGCCAGTGTTAATTCTGCACTAGATAGCCATATTTTAAATAACAAAAAGATCCCCCATTATAGGTTCTTTAAAATGCAGTTGGTGAAGCAAGTGTTTTGTGCAAAAGGCAGCTGAGGAAACTGTGTTCTGTCTGCTCTTTTCATGCCACTTTCCCCTTATTGTACTGATATGTGGATTGTAGTAAAATGAGACTGAGTGTGACTTTATTGAATAAGGATCTATTTTGTTTGTTTGTTTTGTTTTTTGGTCTATGTGAGATCAGTTTAGTTATTGAGGTGGTTTGGTAGGGGGAGTAGTTTGTCTATGACTGTAATTGATTCAGTCGTGCAAAAGCAGATGATTGCCCAACTTTTGCCTAGAATGTCTACACAAATTGTTCATTACTCCTTTTGATTCCCTTGGCTTTTGCTTTATTATTCTTTTTTTTAAATGGTGCAAATGCCCACATGACGGAGCCATGCCATAATCCTATTGTACGAATACCTATGCGATATTCAAAATATTAGAACTTTGAAGTTGCATGGGGGGGCAAATTTTGCCCTCAGTACCCTAGTCAAGACCCCCTGAAATCAATAATAGTTGTGAAAGCATATTGGAAAGCAGAATTTGGCCACAGCATGAGAGCGGAGAGAATTCAGTGGAAGAAAATATCTCCCTCTCTTTCCAATGGTCTGTTGCAGAGTGGGTGAATCTCTGAAGCTTTCTGATTTTATTTTAGCTAGTCCAGTAAAAGGAATGACTACAACTCCTTGGATTATTTGTTTTATTTTTGTCTATTTTGATAGTGGACTAAACCCAGTTACCACTTCTGCATCTGCACTGAACTAAATGTAGGTGACACAAAAGATACACATCAACTGGCACAAAAAAAATGTTTTAAAAGTAATTTGTTTCTATGCCATACAGTATCCAGTTCTGTGTTATGATAGGCCTATTGTGAGATAAGAGACCATAAAGATCAAAGCACATTTATTTTCCCAGGATTTATTTCATACAGACTTTGGAAAGACGTGTGTACTGTATGCTGAAGACTTACTCCTACTGAGTCCTTTGTTGTTTATCTCTTTTACTTGTTCCATCTGTCAGACCATCTGCCTCCTGATGACCCCATTTTTTTTATTGTATTACAGGTCTACACATTCCGAGGTCCACACTGGTGTGAATACTGTGCCAATTTCATGTGGGGGCTCATCGCTCAGGGAGTCAGGTGTTCAGGTAGCTTTACACATTTAATTTATCTTGGTTCTTTCTTCTGAAAAATAAAAGGGTAAGCTCCGTGAGGGAGGAATGGGGGACAGTTTCATAAAATGTAACAAGAAATTGCTATCTAATTAGTCCAAAGGCTGAATTTGCTGTAGTTTAGCCCTTTTCAAGAAGTGCTGAGCACTAGGTACATATTTTAACAACAACCAATAAGGAATGGGAGTTGCACAGAAATCAGGATCCAGTCCCAGTGTTAGCAAGGGAGAATAAGGGGGAAGAGGGAGGGAGATCTTTCCACTTTTCGTATCTGAAGAACAGAGAAATTAGCAGCACCAGTTTTTGTTTTTGTTTTAAACTTATCCTGCTTGTTTCTGGACTCCAGTAGGGCCTTACAAGAATATGTAAACATATTGGGAAGAAGATGGTGCTATATTTTCCTTTGGAAACTTGATCCTTTTTTTTCTAAACAAAGGACTTAGAAATATTGTCCTGTTTATTTTTCCTGCTTAGTTGGCTTGGAAGTAGAGGCATCTCTCCACGGACATCTTTATAACAGTACGCTGGCAATGTGTATGCCCCAGTATTTTGGTTTAGGTTTTTCATCAGCATCCTGTAAATCATCTTTCTTATGGTAGTGCCAGGTTTTGGTTTATATGTTTTTACATCTTAAGAAACAAGATCTGAAGATGGCACAAAGCCAGCCTCAGCTAGACTTCATAATTCATCTTTTTGCCGCTCACTCTTGAAAAATGTCCTCCTCTGGGGAAAGATGATCATCTTTGACCAATAAAAATACCATATGTTGCTACAAACCTCAAAATATCCTACCTCGTGGAAAAGAAAAAATGTTACCCTCATTTCCAAAAGAATTAATTTCCTGGTTTTTCTTTTACTTTGTTAACCTTTTAATAGGTTTTAAATTTTATTTTTTTTTCCATTTGTTTGCTACATTGCTACAATAAACCAAGAACCATTACTCCATGATTTTGTTTGATGCAGGAATGGAAAAAAATGTTGATGCATCACATGCAAATTTTGGTAACTACATTCTGCTAATCGAAATTCTCCTTCCACTTTCAGTTGAAGATAGCGCTCCCTCTCACTTCCTGTCCTAACCTTATGGGAGTTACAGTGCACCGATTAACAGCAGCCACTTGCAACCCCACATCAGACTGTATCTGAGGGGTGGGTGAAGTGACGCCACATAAAATTTGTATAGCAATTTGAGGGTCCTTTAAGATAAAAGTTGATTTATAAATTTAAAGTATCAATACATGCATGGCCAACTTATTGTACTTTACTACTTCATCTTCTCTACCTACAGATGGGTCAGAGGCAAGACAAAGAGTATAAAAATGAAATAAAAAAAGGAAAATGAATAACCATTACTGATCAGGCTATTTAATCCTCAGTGTAAATGGGTAAAAATTGACCGTGTGGATCTAATGAATATTGTTGGATTTGTTCCCCTAATTTAAAATACCTAACCTATGAAAAGGCTTATTTATTTAGTATGAAGCTTAATACTTTCCCGCATTAAATTACCAACATTTAACTCTAAGTAGACAAACAAGTTTTTTTTTAACCTCAGATGAAATGTTTTGCAAGAACATTGAAAACAATAAAGGGAGTATCCTAAATGCAGCTGGCCAGATTTACTTAGATTTCACTGAACAATAATGCATTATGCAGTAGTTTCTGTCTGAAGAGACCAAATAAACTAAACTGATTCCATTAAACTTATAGAAGGTTTGATTTTTTTTTTGTGACAATTTGATTTTGTTTGATTGACATTTTATGGAACGTAATATTGAGATGTGTTTCAAGTAGTTCAGAGAGTTGTTTAAAATTTTAGTAGTTCAGCCAGTAATCAATATGCAAAAGGTATATTTGCCTTACCAGTGATAATTTCAGGAATGTTAAGGATTATAGCATAAGGGCCTTGGTTAATAACAAGCACACTTTTACTTTGCTCCTCTACACACACTTATCAGTGAGAAGCAGAACTGGAAATGCTTTGCAGTAGAAAGCAAACTTCTGTGAAAAGTACATTGGAGTGTAGTCCTTGTTCCTGACCCTGTTTTTTTCCTAACACGCTTTGGGGCTGATGCAAGATAATCGTCTTCTGGGCTCTTCTCACTAACTTTTTTCAGGGATCCTCCATCCTCTTCACAATCTCAGCATTGCAATGACCCTCTCTTCCGGGTGTTGGATGTTACCAAGTCCTGTCAATGTTATTGAGTGAGTCAGCCACAGGAGTCACTAGAGAGCTATGTGAAGTGGTTTTGTGTTTGTTCTGGTTTTGTCTGAGGGATGAGGGTTTTCCTGTTTGTTTGTATAAGCTCATGAAACCATTATTAGCAAAACCTATCAATGGAAGCATTAATTCTGGCAAAACTTTATTCATAGACTGTGGGTTGAACGTACACAAACAGTGTTCCAAATATGTGCCCAATGACTGTCAACCAGACCTCAAGAGGATCAAGAGAGTCTACTGCTGTGACCTCACTACACTAGTGAAGGCCCACAACACACAGAGACCCATGGTTGTGGATATATGCATTCGAGAAATAGAAGCAAGAGGTTTGCATGATTTTCTTTGTTTGACTAGAGTGGAATGTCACTAGATCTATAATATTACATTAATTGTGATCAAGGAGCAGCAGATACACACAAAAATTAAATCAACTTTGAATTGCATGTTAAGTTGGGAGAAAAAATAGGCCCAAGTAAATGGAAGAGTGGACAGGAGTATTTTTTTTAGTAAAAATTCTATTGTTTTGCATTGGCTAGTAAAGTCCAGTTCTGTCATTTCCGAATGCAAATTATTTAAATTGCTTTTTAAAAAATATATTAGATAGCTCTTCTAGAATGAAAACTATTCATGTCATACTTTTTAAAAGGGCAAACTTTAAACTTATTTATGTGTCTTTTCACTTGGTTCATTTACCTTTGGCACATATATTTACAATATTTTCATTTCAAAGCAATCAGTTTAATTCCGTGAAAGTTATGAATAGTTTTAATTTTAAACGATTTCAGAACATCATATGCGAGAGAACACAAAAGAAAGGAAATGGCTCATACAAAACGTGAAAGAGGAGTGCAACATTTTGTGACCTGTGGCAAGCCTCTCTTCTAGTGAAATTCACATTACGTTCTGTTTCTGACTGATGAATGACATAGCCAAGCAACATGTCACAGCCAAAAAGCCAGCTTGTGATTTGTCTTTTACTGCACTGACATGCATTCCACATTTACAAATTACAATAACACCAAGTACAAAATGATTACAAGCTAATGATCATGTATATGTTATTGGTGGCTTGCATGTGAGTTGTGCCACCTGATAAGCCACGTTTTTTTAATTTTTGACATGATTGTAATCTGCATGGTAACATACTGCTGCTAGACATGAGGATTTCAAATCAGTGTAGGGAATTTAGCCACACATCTTCCATTAAAATTAATAGAAGATCTGCAGCTAAATCCTCTGTACAGCTCTGCAAATCTCAGCCAGGATTATATCATCACTGCAAGAACAAATGGAGAGAGAGGATGGGTTTGAGAGAGAACAGTTTTACTGAAACATAAGTATCTATGATAGCAAAGGACACATTAGAAAGCTATATTGCATTTGATATATAAATATTCTTTCTTTTACAAATGTCAATTAAGACTAAATTGGTTGTCCTCTTTCATTATCAATACCTTAACAGCTGTAAGAACTTTAAAAATCCCTCCTGTTGGGATATTGGTTTTGGTCATGATACAGGCTCAGTAGCTAAGAAAGGCTAATGTCTGTTTGTTGGGTGATCATATGGGCATGGTCACAATAAGGAACCGGTGAGTTAAAACAAATAACAGCCATGTAAGCCATTTTGACTAGTTGTATATGCTGTCTTGGACCACGCTTCTTTCCTGTAGGGATGGGAACAGTGCAAGAAGATTTGTGGAGGCTAGCAGCAAACAGATCTCCAGCCAGGCAAAGAACAGTGGGAGGGATGTGTTGTGCGAAAGAACAGTGCATGCTGCACGTACCAGTTAAGATTGACAGCAAAATCAGAGAGCAAAAAGGGTCACAAGAAGGTAGAGTTAATTGCTGGCATCGCTATAGGTAATTAAGAACACAGACATAGGGAAGGCAGAATTTAAAGCTATAGTAATTACAGACCAAAAAAAAGAGACCAAATAAGAAGTGATCACACCATGAGCTGCCAGTATAGGCAAATTGCAGTATTTTGTAGCTGATATTGTGTATTCCCTACCAAACTAATAAAACCAGAAAACTTAACCAACTTGTAGTCTTTAAAAATTACCTTAATTCTTCTTTAAAATATTCAGAAGTTTAACATTAAAATTATTGCTCGTGTCACATTTCATATATGGGATTATTAACATAACATAACATAACTGTGACTAGATTTGACAAGATTGAATATTTGTTGATATATATCTGTTGATAGCAGAAATAAAGCTAAATCAGATGTTTACCTTGCAGGTTTAAAGTCAGAGGGCCTTTACAGAGTCTCGGGGTTCACTGAACACATTGAAGATGTCAAAATGGCTTTTGATCGAGGTACAGTGTGTTTTAATATTAGATGGGTTTTCAGCTGAACTTTTGGTTTAAAGAGACACTGTTCTAAATGATATTTGGGTGCTCAAATACCATGGAGAGGAAACTGGTCTATAAGCAGAAGCCCAAAATGTTACCTATCTTTTTTTCTGATGTTATTATTTTTTACCAATATCTGTAACACTTTTCACATGAATAAAATCATATTTCATAGTTGGAATAAAGTAGATAAACACACAACAAATAAATGTAGCTAGGGAGGTGAAAGGTTCAGATGACTGATAATGGGCTAGAGCAGGGGTCAGCAACCTTTCAGAAGTGGCGTGCCGAGTCTTCATTTATTCACTCTAATTTAAGATTTCGCGTGCCAGTAATACATTTTAACATTTTTAGAAGGTCTCTTTCTAGAAGGCTATAATATATAACTAAACTATTGTTGTATGTAAAGTAAATAAGGTTTTAAAAATGTTTAAGCTTCATTTAAAATTAAATTAAAATGCCCCCCCAGTCAGGTGGCCAGGACCCAGGCAGTGTGAGTGCCGCCGAAAATCAGCTTATGTGCTGACTTCGGCACGCGTGCCATAGGTTGCCTAATCCTGGGCTAGAGCCTTTCACCTCTAGGCAGGGGCGGCTCTAGGCACCAGCAAAGCAAGCACGTGCTTGGGGCAGCCCATTTGCAGGCGCGGCAGGGATCCAGCATGGGAGCTGAGAATCAACAGGGGGCCCTGGGAGCTGTAGTTCCTTGGTTAGCTCCCTGCCTATAGAGCCAGCCCTGGAGCAGGGAAAGAACTACATTTCCCAGCATTCCCTTGGCCACTACCAACAGGAAAGGGGGAGGGAGTGAGGTAGCTGAGACCTCATGCTGCAGCCTGCTATGAATGGAGAGCTGCACTGTGAGTAAGGATTCCATATTTTAACATTCAAAAAATAGAACACTCTACGGGGAGGGAGGGTAGCCCCACCCTGCCCCCATCCACTCCCTCCGACTGCCCCCCACAGAAACCCCA